ACCTGTTCAGTCTAAATATGGGACAAAGGTGGAAGAAACATTTTGATGAGTTTTTTAAAGGTGCTACAAATCAAGACATTACTTGCTATTCCAGGCTTTGCGTTTGGGTCTAAGCTGGAGATCTTTTATTAAAAGTAGGCAGCAAGGAGAAATTTAATTTACCCCCCATGTTTTCCTTTGACGTGTTCATCAAACTGTCATGGCCATGAAGGCCCAAATCTCATTTATTTCTTGCTGTGAGAAGTGGTGGGGGCACAAATCCTGCAGCTTTCGAGGTCACAAGCTAGCTGTCCCCTCCTCTCAGTATCCTTTTTCGTCTCAGTCCCATTCTATCTCCCTCTTGGCCGAGGCACAGATTTAACCAAACAAAACCTATCAGGATATCTATAAAGCAAGGTGACTTACCGAAGGTAATTTTTTTCAAATTGACTGCTCGGACACATTGAGTATGACAGCCTGGCCTGATTTCCATGCCTCTAACAGGCAGCGCTGGATGGAAATAGATCTAGCATTTGCACTCAGATTTGTCAGCATTTCATTATCTATATCCCAGCACCCTTAAATGTACTGTCCAGAAATTGTTGTTGTTTCGTACTAGAGCTTTACCAGGAAAGATCATTTGTATTTGGCTTCAAATGTCAGCTTGAATTAATGTTTGATTGGGCTTTATTGGTATTGAGAAGTTATGGCATAAAAGGGTATTTGGAAATGATTATCACTGCAGAAAGAAAGGAGCACTTATTACAAAGCTGTGACACATATGCTGTCTGTCAAAATGCAAAAGTATAGCAGAATAAAATGAGAGAATACAAATTCTTGACCTTTGCCGAATGTATGCTATTTCCACATTTCATAATGATGCAATCAACAGCAAACATCAGATGTCCTTGATATCTGGCTTTCCCAAATACTCGTTACACCCACTTAAAAACGGATAAACCATACCAAATGTGATTCTGACGTCATCCCACATTCATAACATTCTAAACAATATCAGAAAAGCTCGGCCTGGAGTTTGTCTTGGTGGCTCCATGCAGAGAGCAACAAAGAGATGCCCACCGACCCAGAGTCTCGACCCCTCTGGTTTCCTCAAGTCGTACCCGCATCAGCTGACAGCAGGCCATTGTTCTTCCTACATTCATCTCTCAAACCTTTATCTTCATCCGTTCATCTCTTCATCTGTATCCCCATCCCTCTATCCCACATCCCTCCACCCTTACTCTCTTCCCTCATTCAGCATATCTCGACCCTTACCTCCATCCATTCATCTCTCTACCAGTATCTTCATTCCTTCATCCCACCATCCTTAATCCACTTCAACATCCCTCAACCCTTACCTTCATCCATTCATCTCTCAACCTGTGTCCTCATCCCTTAATCCTACATCCCTCCATCCTTAGATTCATCCATTCATCCCTTAACCCTTATCCTCATCCCCTCATCCCTCTACCCTCTACCCTTGACCTGCTTCCACATCCCTCAACCCTCACCTTTATCCCTTCATCCCTCGACCCCATACCTTTATCCCTTCTTCTTTTGACCTTCATATTCTTCCTATCATCCATGGCTGTCAGCTGAGGAGTCAATTACAGTGACAGCAGCAGAGCAGGTTTTGACACAAACATAATGTTAAATACTGTTAACAACACGATGTCATGTAATATAACGTTAACACCATCTATATGAAGGTGGTGTTACAGAATCTTACTGGGGCATGTCTTTACAGGGTATCTGTCCAAAGTGAAGGTTTTGATCTAAAATCTCCTGACTTTTCAGTGCCTCATTTCCTACTGACATCAATTTAAAATGAAACAATTGTCAGACCTCAGCTAATGATTAAGGTCAGAGGGCGAGCTCTTTTATGTCTGAAGTTGGACAGATGTTAATTTATGACTAAACACTTTTAACTTAACAGCCTTGATATCAGCCGGAGACAGGCAGAGAAGAAGGAAGAAGATGGAGGATAGAGAGAGAGGATATGAGCGAAACGAAAAGGACTTGTCAGATAAGTTAATCTGCTTTTGCAGTGGCAGGGACTCTGATTGGGCTGCGAAGGTAAAGCTTTCCTGAGACAGCCAGAGATATCATTAATCCAGGGTTGACCTGGCCTGCCTTTTGCATGGGCCTGCCAACTGAAGTTTATTATCCAAGAGGAGGCTGTCCAAGCAGCAGGCAGGCAGAGGAGAGGCCATGTGCTTTTCCAAAATGACGGGGCAGCACTTCCTTTTGAGCATTCCAAAGACAAATTGCCTTGGATCAGCGGCTTGGCAGCTGGCTGATAGAGAAGTGAGGTGTATAAGGTCCACCTGGGCATTTTCATCATGGCAGCTTTTCTCTACAGTTTTTTTTTTCTTATTTGTGCAGCTGGTCACCTGCTGCCGTGTGTCATTGCATCTGAGCCAACTCTATCACTCACACATCTACACAACACACTAACCATACAATAGTCTCACACTTATCCTCATTTTAGACATGTACTGTACTCTTTTGTTTTGGGATTACAGTCTTCTGGCAAAAGTGAGAGATCAGCATGCACAACTCTGAATAGTTTAAAAAAGAAAATGCTTTTGTACTTTAGTCAAAGAGAATAAAGGGGCCAAGCAGTGATGCTTTGATCCATTCTCATATCTGCAAGCGGGCTATGTTGCAATTTAACTAGTATTTTTATGGCTTTGCCTTGTAAAACAAGACAGCAAGGAAGTTTTGAAAAAAAAAATCATGTGTAATTATGATGATTTGGCTTGTACTGCTCTTTTTAAATATGCGATTATACCAAAGATGGCTGCTCAAAGCTTTCCCGAATCACACGATCAATAGCATCAATATTTACATGAGTCCTTTATTCATTGACAATGGGCATATAGAATAGAATGAGACTGTATTTGGGCCTCTACCGCCCTTTTAGGATTTATAATCAAGTTCTATTATTTTAACAAATAATAATAACTAATATCTATGAGTAGGCAGATTTATTCAGTATTTGGTTTGTATGAAGAAGGAATGTAAAAGTCAAGTCCTGCCTGAGGTTACCTTTTTATTCTGCCTCATATTTAAGATTTAAAATGGATTGAATGGCTACGTTTCTGAGAAGGAGTGACTGAAAGAGACACAAAGAATTGTCAACTTTGCCACAGTTTAGCATCTTTCAGCACAATGTTTCGCTTTTCTAACCCGTAACTCCACTATAGATATAAAAGGGGCAGCTATTTTCAATTTAAAAAAGCTCAGATGAAACCCCCTGTTATGTACCTGGAAGCTATGAAAAGAAGAAAGGAATAATAATAAACGGCAGCAGGCAAACAAAATGGAAATGTCGGAGTCAAAGTGCCTTTTTTTTCCTCTTGAGATGTAGGAAACTGGAATAGAGCCTTGAAGAGGCTTGTGCTGTTTGTTTATCTTGATGTGTAAAGAGACAGCATGTTCATTATCACATTTGTATTTCAGTGCAGTAACTATTTACAGATGTGTGTTCTGCTGATTCAAAGAGGCTTTTAAACGCAGCTTGAAGTTGCTCCAATTTTTCATAACAAGGTCTTCAGTTCTGACAAAACGTAATTTTTCTATTTTGTTCAATCAAATTGACAAATTGTACAGTTCAAGTTAACAACCCAAATCTGTAAATGAAAGTGTTATAAACCACAAATGCTGTTGCTGATGAAGTTAGACATGAGTGAAACAAGTTGTTCCTTAAGTGTTGCGCCACTTATTTTCTTATTTAGAATTTGATACTCATTAAAATATTATATTTGCAGGGCCATGTCCAGACTTTTTTGTACAGGGGTGGCCCTACTGGGACACTGACTTGTGCAGGGGTCGCCTGAAGTTTGTGTGCCCACACATGAATGAAGATCATTTATTTATCCCATTACGTCTGCACTAATCACATCGACTTTTTAAGTAATACAAGATAATGGCGACAAACGCATATTCTAAGCTGAATTCTTGAAGGATTCAAACAAATACATCCAAAGTCACAGTGTGAAGTATTTCAAAAATTGCAAACAGGAATCTGTACAGCCTAAATGGTGGATTTCAACATAAACAAGACCCACCTCCAGCAAGTAAGGATTTTGGGGTGGCCAATAAGATTTTAAGGTGGTGCCCATGCCACCCCTTGCCATCCATCTTGCCACCCATCTAGACACGTATGTTTGATATCGGTCTGACAGTCTTATTATGCATGCATCATTTCTGCTCTTTAATTGGCTGGTTATTCAGATGAAGAATTTGTCTATATTTTCCCCAAGTATTTAAAAATTGAAAAAAACTATAACATTGTCTTAAATGTGTCTCCGATGCTGTTTTCAAGAATAGCATTACCCAGTTTTAATGCCCGTGTACTAGTGTATCCTCATTCTTCTCCCCTGCATTCATTACCAGGCTTTCTTTTCAAAGAGTTCTGACTACCCAACAGGATCACGTTTGATCAAATAGCTTTTTGATCTAACATATCAAGTCATTTGTTCTCAGTTAAGAGTTGCAATAAAAGCCTTCGAGCAAAATGCAGAGCTGTAATCTCAGGTGAGAAAATGATTTGAAAAGCAAACCACCTATTAGAGAGTTGGAAGTTATTTTCCTTTCTTACTTTTTGAGCGAGACATCAGTTTACATCCTGTTTGATACACTTACACATTAACTAAACACTTTTGAATTTGGACCTGAATCATAAGAATAAAGAGAGGTGTGGGTATACTTTGAGAAAATTTGGACGGGGTTATCCATTACAGTCTGCTATGCTGTAATGGAATTATTTATATCATCCTTCAATTATGAAAAGCAGTGGCTGAGGATGTCATCAATATTTACTGAAGAGCAAAATTGTTCAGGGCAGTGAGCTGCCCTCGATGCTTTGTAGAGAGCAGTGGGTTTGTATAGTACAGAAGACAAAAGACAAGACGAGTGCATGGCTCTCTGATGTGAGCAACAGAAGCTTTAAAAACACTCGCTTCACAAATGATTCTAACAACATACCTTTGTTTTTATTCTTGTCTTTTTCGCAGGTTTGGCAGTTCACCAGATAATCACAATCACTGTGTCTCTCATTATGGTTATCGCAGCCTTGATCACAACACTCGTCCTTAAAAACTGGTAGGAAAGATTCCTTTACTCTTCTAAAACAGGCACTTGAGGAGACTGTAGGTACAAGGTATGATTTTATGTTTGTTTCTTCTCTTTGGTGCGTGTTTTTGTAGCTGTGCACAGTCAGGAAATGGCCGCCACAATAGCCATCAGCGCAAGATCCACCAGCAGGAAGAAAGTTGCCAAAACCTGACAGACTTCACCCCAGCCCGGGTTCCCAGCAAGGTGGACATATTCACTGCCTACAATGAAAGCCTACAGTGCTCACATGAGTGCGTTCGGACTGCAGTGCCGATTTACACTGATGAGATGATCCAGCAGACGCCTGTGTACAAAACCGCTTACAACGGAAACAGGTATGCTGGCTCAGGACCAGTCACTCTTTGCAGAGGGTGGATGCTCACTAAATAAAAAAGACTGCAGTCAGCCAGCACTGATAATCCAAATACCCTTTTTCCATAATGATGTCTGTGTCTGCAGTTATTATCACTAATATAATTAGAGTTTAATGGCCTAAATCTTTTGAAATCCAAGTGAAATGACACAGATCAATTTAAATTGGGTTAAGAAATCAGTGTCTGCTTCCTAATTATGAATGTTTTATGAGGGGAGAAATGTTCTAATTACCTCCACGTGAAATGAAAAAGCCCAGAAAAAAGCAAATGCAAGCAAATTATGTTCTTCATTTATTTAATTTTTTTGTCTTAACTAGTGTTAAAAACAAGAATATTCTATCCATCTTTGAGGGCCGTGTGTCCATTGATGGTGATTTCTGCGTTGGCATCGCCCAGTTCTCACCAGCGCTCATTGTTCATCTGTGACAAAATTTAACTTCCCTTGGTAGTGATAGTCTGTTTTAATAGCTCCATGTGCTTAATTGTTTTCTTTATTGAAGGAAATATCTCCAAGAATGAACGTGAAAAGAAAAAAAAATTGAATTGAATCCTGTCCAGCAGCAGCTCTAGACCTGGAAAATGTAGCCTTAGAAAGACGCGCTAGTTTAGCTTCTTCCGCTATTGTTGTTGACTACATTGCATGGCAATGTAGTCATTAAGCTATTTTCTGTTTTTGTTTATTGAGTCAATTTCTAAATATTTTCAGTCAAAATCTAGCCAATAAGACGCTGTCAATTAGTTTTAACTATCTCCTGCAGCCTGTCCTTTTTATGGATACTGTTCTTTTGGAACAAGAGAGTCACACCATTTCCATTATCATCATTACCATGGCAACCAGACTGGAGTGCAAGCATATGGTCTGTCTTTCATAAATTAGTGAAAACAGTGGATGTCCTTTGTTAAAGAGGAAAACATGAGTGAAACGGAACAAGGGGGGGAGAAGTGTTCTGATTTTTGTTAAAAGTTCAGTGTTCTTTATTTTTGTAAAAATAACATCTCAGGACTGATTACATGTCGTAAAATTAACCAATCAAACAGACACACAGCAGTTTGAGTCCATGTTGAGCTCTTACCTCTTACATTTTATCCCACAGGCCTTCCCCCACTGAAAGACAACTGATTCCTGTGGCCTTTGTGTCAGAGAAATGGTTCGAGATTTCATGTTGACGAGCTGAAGGCCTTGTTCACTTCATGTGGGTGGAAGAGACTTCCTCCATACACACGCTGGTGGGTACTGTGCCACTTTGTCGTCTTGCAATATCACCGTCTGAGCCTTAGCCACCTGTCCCACTTTGGGAATAAATGGAAACTTGGCATATGTTTGTTATATTTGACATAATTATGCTGCTTTCCATCTCCTGAACAGTGATGAGAAAAAAAAGGACAGAGAAATCCAGGCCAGGGAATTATCAGAGGTCTCAAGTTCAGATAACAGAGCAGATATATCATCAATGATTTACTGTATTCCAACGATAGGGATTTCAGTTTTAATATATGACCACCTTTATTAATATATATGTCACCACTCTCATTCTCACACCAACAGTATATTCTATTGAATATTTAGAGTAAAGGGGCACTTTAACATGACTTGTGACATATTTTTTATGCATGACTAATTATGCAAGAATGGCCTGCATCTGAAATTCAAAGCGTGAAAGTTAAACACATGCTCCGGCCCCACAGTGTTATTGGTGGAGGCTCGAGGGGAGATGTAACGTCTGCTATTGACCCAGATTTTAAAGGAATAAATTGCCTGCAGGTAGCGCAGAGAGAGAGGAGAGCGCCATAGCGTTGTCTGGACACACATTAGTCTCAGTCATCTCGCCTCTCTATGCTGCATGCTACCAATGCTGTAGTCCTTAAAGACACAAGATCCCTTATCATTTTGCTGCAAATAAAATGTATGCCTGTGTGTTAAAGCAGGCATTCAAAGTACAGAAAAGGTTTTTTCTTCTAGTGCAAGAAAGGCCCTGGGCATGCATCTATTTCAGGCCATGTTAATTTTCTTTTACATAAGGGAAAGCAGACTGGTTCCAGTGTATCCATTATAATTCTGAGGGTTTTTTTTTCTCCACATCTCCACAGGATCGAGTTGGAAACAAGAAACACACAAAACAGCGTCTTTTGTAAAATAGCGTGATCACTCTTTGGACACTGGTTAAGATATTTATTTTTCTAGCGATGACAAGCAGAGCAGCCACATTGCTGCCACTCCATATTTCCAGGAACGTACAGTCATTTAGTTATAGATTATATATAGGTATATTTACAGGATTTGGGGGAACAAGACTGTGGACTTTGAGTACGTCTCAAGAACAAACAAAAAAAACACTTGACACTTGTGAAAGGAATCCACGGAGCTGCTGTGGGGGGAAGATATGAACTGTATTTCTGAACAATGTGCCAATAATGCCACTATGTGCCACAACATGGATAGCAGGAAGATTCAACAACAACAACTTATGGACTTAATGAGTGCTATATTAACCCTGTATCAACTCCAACTACATTTTTCTTTTGTTTTTTTGTTTTTTAAAGAAATGTGAAAGATTAAAAAAATGTGACAAATGTATTTGAATATGTTTTGAAATAGTTTTAAGAAATGTGTTATAAAAGAGTGTAAAAGATATTTATATGAAGCACTATTCTATTAGTCAGGGGGGAGGTGGAAAAAAAGACACGGTATATGCTTTATTGAAGTGTTGATTTTGAAAAGCCTGTTTCTATTGGTCCCATTTTAAAAGAAAAAACAGAATAGTTATGTCTATTTTTTTACACGAGAGTCTGCCACAGACCTTACAGTAGAGGTCCAAAGCACTAAGGATCCAGCACTATTAAAGCTAGGGTAGGCAATTTATGTGAGAGGCATTTTTTGTTATATCTGTAAAATTCTCTTTACGTCCTATAAGCAATCAATAAAAATAAAACCCCATATCATTTGGCTTGTAATAAGCCATATTCAATCATTTCATTTAGCTTGATGGAATGATTAACCTGCCAGTCTACCTGCGTGTACTCTGCCTGTAGGCTCATTCACCACAAGTCTTCTACAACTAAAGCTCAACAGCGAGTCACACTAGAAGGCAGAAAGAGACAGTAGGAGATGGTTAAGCTTGGCGCACAGTGCACGACTGAGCAGCGTGTTCTGAAACCTCTTGCTTTTCATTTCTGTGTGCATGTTAACAGGTTAGAGCAGCCACACAGCTTGCATAGGTGCTCTGCCCAGACGCAGCTCATTGCTGCTGCACAGCACAAAGAGAGAATAAACAGCCCATTCTGTTTTACCATGCATGATTCTCTCTGAACACAGTCTGTGTAATTGATTAGTAAAGTCTATACATGCAGAATGAATTAAAAAATTATTAAACACATTTAAAAGTGCATGAATCAATTTCAGATCTCTGTCTAAACTAATTACAAAAGGTAATGTGTTCTAAAATGAGATGAAACATTACGATTATAAATAAAGGCAGACTCAATGTTAAGAGAATCAGCAGCACTGCAGGTGACTTGAAGCGCTGCTCAGACATGTGGTGTGACCCCAGAATTAGAACTGATGACTCTGCTCTATCAGTGACTCGACCACCTGGGCTGCTGTTGCATATTTCTGTGAAGGCACGTTCAAAATCATACTCCTAATAGCTTCTTCCAATTTGCCTACCCAAGCTTTACTTAATAACTCCTATCCTGAGATTATTACCAAGAAAACCACCTGCACGTGCATGGTGCACAGCCAAACAAACTTATTATTTAAGATTTGCACCTGATTCTCTTAATAAAAAAAGGCAAACAAAAGGTTACGGTGTTGCAGGATCACTGGTGCAACACATCCCACTGCAGAAAATGCATGCTCAGACTAAGGGCAAACTGCATGGAGCTGGACAGGACATTCATACTGCCTCAGGTCTGTCCAGCTCTGGCCGTTTTTGATAAGTGATGGGGTATTTGATTCAGATCTGAGCTTGATCTCTGAAAGGGTGGAGCTTATTCAGTATGATCTTCGCAGTCAAATAACTCGAATAATAATTTGTAATATTAGAACTTAAATTAAATTGTGGGTAGATATCCCTGCTCACTTTTGATCCATCATTTTGAAACCTAAACATCAGATAACAAAGATTTCTTAAAGGTGGCTTCTGAAATTGTTCTCAGTTCTGATGATATGAATGAAGAACAATCTGTGATCATGGTACAGCAAAGAAGTATCCCAAATTATGAAAAATGTGTTTTTAATGCAAGCAGGGAGGATCCCCCCCCCCCCCCCCCCGCCAAAATGTATAGTAAGTGTTAGTTAGATCTCTTAAGAGCCAGTTCTACTCAATACATGAGGAGAATATTTCTAGCATATCAAACTTTCAGCTATCACAGCCAGGTAGTTGGCAGTTGTGCACAAATCAAAAAGGTTTTAATTGGTGCTGAGGGAAACAGAGTGGAAATGAAATTTAAAACTAAGGAGAAAGAGTTCAATTTTGTTCTTTTAAAAACCTGAAACACTCGTACCATGTTAATGTATTCCTGAAGGAACAGGGGGATTATAAAAAACCAATAAGCCGCGGCCAAATTGGTTTTAACTATCTCCTAAGTCAAGGTGGGATAACTCTTTGGTCAGGGAGAACACTAAAGCTCATCAAAGAGCCTTCTAGCACCGATAATTTTACTATCGACCTCAAGCTCTGGAAGGCAGATTATTTTTGAGTGGAAAAAGCTTTTGAGGAAGCCACCTATGAGTCTACCTTTTCATTGTGCTATGGGTTTGTACAAAGCACAAGAAAACCTCTGTAATTGTAAACTTTTTTTTGGGCTGCACACAGCAATATGTAAAGATTGAAGAAGGGTGTTTTCTTGGGTGTTAACAGTAGATCTCCAATATTTGGCTTACAGGGGGTTTTAGGCTTACTTTCATAAAGGATTCAGGAAAAACAGGTTGTCCCCCGTAAGATCATCATGAGTAAACGTGAGTCATTCAGGAGGGGCAGAGACGGCATGTGTTAAACACTGTGGTGCAAAAACTTTGGATTTTGCCCATTCACAACAGGAAAACCATTCTCATGAATGATCCATACCGATTCAGCCTCTCAGTGTGTGTCAGGCTGTGGAGTTGCTTCTTTGACATATATATTTTTTTTGAATGAAGAGTGTTATCTTACTAGTCAGAGGGTTATGAAAACTTACTGTATATTACACACATGTAAATGTATTTTCTATATATTTGCTTCTATTTGTGTACAGGTGTGTTTTTCAAGACCTCTCCTTTTTTTGGGGGAGGTTCGATAGGTTGGGGATAGTGTCTTTGTTTACATGTGTACAACGGTATTTCTTTTAAAACTAAAAAAAAAAAACTAACCTTGTGCCAAGCTTCCTACCTGCACTTTCAAGCAGTTCTTGTATTATATATCAAGCTAACCAGTATAATACTTCAGTAGACGCTGCAGTAGCTCAGACACTTGAGAGAGTGACTATCAGTCAGGATGGATGAGTGCTGAAGGGTTTGAGGAGCTGTTGGGATCACATCTTGGCTTTCTGCTGTTTTTCATGGTTGGCTTGGAAATGAAATTACTGTCTGTTCTCAAACATCATTTCAACATGAATTCCAGTGTAGATTGTTTCATAACAGGAGTAAAAAAAAAAAAAAAAGGCCACAAGCATTCTTCATTCAGAAGCGTCTTTTCAAATGGTTTTTTAAAGGCAGTGAACGTTGTGTGTGCTGATTCAGGGCCTTGGCCTCTTGCATTTGGTTTGTCCAAAGCATCTTTCATATCTGCAGTAGCTTTTGCATTTGTCAGGTTGAGAAAAGAATAAAAAAAGTGCTAATTTTCAAGAGAATTTTGTCCCCCGTTCTACATTCTGATGAGTAAGGAGAGTAAAAAAAAGATGTGTTGTTAATTACATCTTACCGTGGATACACAAAACAATGTTTCACATCTTCACTTGTCAGCAACTAGGCTTGTTCAGTCATCTGTAAGCCAGACCAAAACCCCCAAATACAGTGTGGACATTTAGAGGAGCAAAAACTACTGCAAACAAATGGTCGGCGGATGTCTTTTAATGCTATTTATGTGCTGCTATCCCCTGGGGGTTAAGTACACTCTAATGCACCCAGACAGATCTGTATGGTTGCGTGGGACCTCCTGAAATAGGAGTAATTAAGGGGAGTACAACAAGCTGGCTGTGTCCAGCTACTTGGCAACAGCCATTAAACCTCAATCACAGCCAGAGGGGGAGTGCCCTGCATCTGTATCTGCATTTGTATGCAGATGTTATCACCTTTAGGCAGCCAAAGTAAAGGCCACTGTTCTGTCGGTTTTCATCACAGCCAACTCCCGATTTCGCTCGGCGACAGCAATAATTGACAAAAAAGCATTTTTAGTTTTGTTACTTTTTCAACAAAAAAAAAAAACCAAGTGATAGACTTCAACCTGCAAAACACATTCTGTCATATCAGTCCCCTAAGTTCGAAAGTAACCAACTACATTCTAGCTAAACTGTGTTTCATCAATTGTTCATATTGTTTTTATTACCCTAAATACTTGTGCATATCACTATTAGGCAAATGAATGATTTACAATACACTTTACTGTAACAGCTGTGATAACTACCTAATTTTATCAATTATCAGTATATCAACTAAGAAGGTAAAGCTGCCGAAAGAAGAATTGTGAGGGAAAGAAAGTGTGAAATACCACTCTGTAGTCTGTGCTGACACTTTGGTATTCATGGTTCATATTGATGAAACTGATAAATTGAGCTGGATCAAAATTACCAGGATATGAATGACAGATGGTTTCACTTTGGCTGACCTGGTGTTAATTTGTCACCAAACGGCTGATGCTTCCTACCAGTTAGTAGGAAGCATCAGCCGTTAGTTCATATAGATATTCATTTTGAAATCATGGAATGAGGGAGGTGGAGATTGGGGAAAGTCTTGCGTAGAAACCAAAGACTTGATCTGCCTTTTTTCCCACAATGATGTGGAAAGTATTTTGCGGTAACCACATCTCCTCAGAAGCCCTCTTTAGCACATACAAACTATAAATCAGCGAGGGTTTTCCTGACAAAATGAAGATTTCCACTTATTTGCAGAGACTGTGATTCTTGCAAAATAAAAGTTTAATTTACATTACATTGCTGGCATAAAAATCCTCAAAGCCATTTTCTTTTCACATGATCGAAAGCATTCAAGAAAGGACAAAAATCACTGTGTCAACTCTGTTTTAATCATCAGTTTTGGGTCTCTGATAAGCATGCAGAAGTGTTTCACAACTGACATTGATGGTGACATGGTGATAATTTGACGTTTTAAAACGGAAATCTACAGCTACAGTAGGTAATATTCTGCGCAGCAATAATTGGTTTTGGAATGTAAAGTTGAAGTCAGTGGAAAGGACAGAGACAGGGAGAAGAATCTATATAAACTGATAAAGGTTATTACTGAATACATTCTTCATCGGTTAGAAATCCGTAGCTCTTCATTTTCCTTCTTCCTCATTGTTTCACAAAATCACATACTGTGCGCTTACTGTAATCTAAAGTGGAGGGCTGCGACTCTCCTCTTGGGTCATGTTTTTACTTTTCTATGTACAAGAGCTAAGGCACTGTCACTGTCAGTGCTTGTCAATACAGTCAAAGACTTGAAAAATGAGAAACATGAAAAGGAAAACAACACTTTGTTTGCAACATTTAAATTCTCCCATGGTCCCTCTGCCAGATGCAGACTATAGTCTGCATGACCCAAATCTGCCGTTTCAGCATTGGATTTGAATAGAGGGTCCCCAACGCTGTGTGATGCATTCAGAAGAGAGTGTGGGCCTCAGAATTAAAGCGAAGAAACAAGAGGAATATCAGAAAAATATCCATGCATGGTTGCGTTTTTTCCCTGAGAGTTGATCAAAATCAGATTGGACAGAAGTGTCAAAAAAAGAAAATCATTCATATCAAGCATACTGTTCCTAGTGATGGATGTTTTATACAATTTAACTTTAGATTTTTCGGGATGGGGTTTGGGGCACGTTCGTTGGAGCTGACATACAATCACAAACCATAGCTACCATGAAGGAATCCGACTCGAGTTGTGTTGTTGCCATAAAAATGAAGAGTTTGTACTTTGTGACTCTTAAACTTTTTATATTTGTGTTTAATATATCAATGAGTACCTCTGTTAACTTTTGTATAAAACCTATGACTATAGTATATACAAACACAAACACACATATAACACACCTACACAAAAGGGACTCCAGTCTGTCTCTGAGACGGCTAAGTGTTGTATAACTTTTATTTTGTGTCTTATGAACCACATCTCTTCCTTTTGTAGTTATTGGTAAACGTTTCGATTTCCAGGTAACTTTGATTTGGTTACTCTTGTACTACTAAGCTCTGTATTTGCAAGCACTGTAAATGCGATTCTCATTGAATTCGTCCTCTGTACATTTAGTACTCTGATGTTGCTATTAATAAAATGTAAAAACAACATGGCCTGTTGCTTTCTTGGAACGAGTCATTGGAAAGGCATTGGTCAGGTAAAAAGATATGAAAACTTACACAAACTGGGAGGTGTTCAAGAGGTCACCCAGTACCAACAGAGTATAAAGTCAATGTAAGAGCACTCATTTTTATGTTTTTAAAATAATCAAGACACCATAACCATATTATCTTTTGCCGCTTTTTCCCCTTTCGGTGTCGCAGGGGGGCTGGAGCCAATCCCAGCTGTCATTGGGCAAGAGGCAGTGTACACACCATGGACTATTGGCCAGACAATCATAGGGCCAACACATAGAGACAGACTACGAGCCTCACATTCACACCAAACATGCATCTGTCAAAGCCAAAATCCTAATCTCAAACTACGATTAGCTATAAGCGTTGGCATAGTCAGGATTTATATTACTATCAACTATTGAGGCTGTGTTGCATCAGGCTGCTAGTAGCTTTCTTTGAATTCCAATGTGGCATATTTCCTTTATTTTGACCTTGAAATTGTGACTTTGGACAACCATCTTCTCTTAAACAAATAAGACAATTACATTTTTTTCCATTCTATCTTTGTTTGTAACATTTGTAATGTTAAATATTTGAGATACTTAAAAGTTTTATAATACTTTAATGTATTGAAAGTAGATATGATGAGTGGCCATTGAGAGGATAATTCTATTGAATTATGTGGTTCCACACACATGCAGAGTGGAGAAATTAATGTTTACAATCTTGATGGTATTTTAACACATTTTAACAAGTACCTATGTGTTACGTTTTGTTTGCTGGGCTGAATCCCGATTTAACCCTATGTTTTGTTTTTCACTACTGCCAGTGTCCTGCAGCTATGAAAAACTATGACGATCATCTGCATTTCTACTGTTGTATTTGTATTCTAAAAATAGATAAGTGTATGAGTTCATCTTAATTAACAGGAGTGCAAGTAACCCCAGGATATTAATTCTTGTAATGATACTTAATAACCAATGGTATAGGTTTTTCTGTTCCCATTCATCAGTGTGTCATCACTGCAATTAAATTATTCCAGATAAGCATTATTTATGAATAGTTAGGGCAACTTTAGGTTTATCTCTTAATGGTTTTAAACTGGATCCACATGGAGTGTGTCTTGGACCTGTCTCTCCCTCACGCTCTGCATCTAGTTAGCAATCAGGTCACATGAATACCTGTATCTAACTGTATATTCCCAAAAGTCTTGGTGCTTCCTCAACTTTCAGATTTGCTTGGATGGTTTTTGTGGACGGCCCCTGGACCTGCTTGACCTCCAAGTCTACATTTTAATATTACCAGTAATTGTGTCACTTATATTGTCATCATAACAGTAGTTAATGCTAACATTGGATATATTTGACTTCTACAGCTGCAATTATTGTCATTACTTCACTTATTTTTGCTATTATTGGCAATATTTTTATCTGTATTATTGTCACTGTAGCCATAAATCAGTGTAATCTTTTGCAGATGATTGTCGTCTTGGTCCATCATTCTCTTTCTGCATCTTCCTCTATCCACTTTCTCTGCTCCTTCTCTGCCCAGATGGCTGTTCACCATGAGTCTGCTTGTTAAAAGCCAGTTCTTTCTTAGCAGGAATTTTGTATTCAAAGCTTTTGTTAGAACCTTTCAGAATTTCTAGATTTCGCCAACCCCTTGGAGGAAGTCCACTCTTTGCTTCTCTTGTCCTATACATGTGTAAGTAGTGTTCACTGACAATAAAATCTCATCCATCTTGCTTTTAACAGTCAAACATATTACTCACAGTAATTTGTTGCCATGGAAATTGTATGAAAGGCTGTTTTGGCAGCGTACTGTATAATGCCTTGTCTTACATTTACCTGATGGCAGCAGTAGGAGGCATTCAAAAGAATTATAATGAACCTTATGACACCATATGTCATAGAGGTATCTGTATTGCTCAGTCTTTTGTTTCATTACCACCTTCTAATTCCTCAAAGGTGCATTCACAAGCCAGCACAATTCTCACACTGACTAAGAAGACGGTAAATGGCTTTTTATATTTCTCTAGCAACTTTTTTCAAAATATTCCAACACTATAAACTGAGTGTTTTAGGAAAAGGTCAAAGATCAAGGACTAATATTCAAACGAAGACAATATTTAAATTGAATACTGCACAAAGAGCACCGACAACATTGAAATAGCTGCACTGGCTAGTTTTAAAGACAAAGAAATCCCTGAATTGAAGGATTACCACCTCTGTGTGTGTGTGTGTGTGTGTGTGTGTGTGTGTGTGTGTGTGTGTGTGTGTGTGTGTGTGTGTGTGTGTGTGTGTGTGTGCGTGTACATATAAGGGCTGAACCCTCATCAAATTTCATGTATCCTACCAGACTTACTCTGTCCTCTCTCCCTGTATTTAGTCTCACTGTCATCTTTGGAAAGGGCTAGATCAAATACTCTGCCATTATTTAATTGGAAGAACCAGTTGCTACCAATTTGTATTAGGTATTAACTGTCTGTGCAATTAAAAGACAGAAAAGACATGCAAATCCCAAAGAGGGTGCTGGATCAAAAAACATGAATAGGTAAAAGAAGCAAACAAGATTTGCACACCAAGAAGCTCTAGGTTAAAGGATTTATTGACAAGTGACGTTTCAAGCCTGAACGTAATTCTAAACATCACTTTTCAATGAATCCTTTGAACAGGAGCTCATTGGTGTGCTGATCTTGTTTGCTTTGACTTATTAAATTACTGTGCCTCAAAAAAATCTGTAAAACGAACAGCTGCCTTTTGGAATTGAAAAATAAAGTCCATTCCCTAAAAAGCTTGGTTTGTTATAATTCCAAATCAACAATGATTTGCGTTTCTATTTGAATGATGCCACTTTGTTTACTAATGCCTTTTATTTTGAAAGATGTTTTGAACACACAGTCCCCCCCCCACACACACACACACCCACACACACACACACACACACACACACACACACACACTTCTTCTCCTGTGTCTTCTTCTCTCTCACTTGTTGTTTACTTTCTGTCTCGCCCTCTCTTTCTCTGTCATACTGTCTGCCAGCTTTTGGGATCACCTAGAGATACAGTTCTCCTCTCCTGTTTGACGAAATGGCTCAGGCAGAATGAGTCCTCCTCTGTGCTCCCCTAAAGCCAGGCTCTCTCTAAGGGAGGCCTGGCAGGCGGCATTAGCATGAGGCGAGGTTTGATTGGTCTGCATTGACGGGCCCAGTGCCCACCTCACTCCTCGTACATTAAGTAGAATAATGCAGCACTGCCCTCTCAGACAGGCCAAATCAATGGGCTGGGCGGCATATGCTAACAGCAGCCAGGGAGATACTTTAGCAGCGGATGATTAATCCCAGTTGCAAACTTGCATCTATCAAAAACTCTGGCACCACCAAGGCCAGACAGTGTAGTCAAAGCTGATTAGCTCCTTGGTTGTCAGATTTGGAGTGGAGGGACTACGCCAAGTTTGAGTGGCAGTTGAGACAGGTAAAGGCTGGTTATGAGTAGACTACCAAACTGTACAAACCTGGCTCCTGTTTCTGTCATGACCCTGTTCAGCCCTGTTACAGGTAAACAGTAGTCTTAGTAGAAAAATATAAATCAATCATTTTTTAGATGATGTGATAATTCCCAACAAAAATGACCTCGTGACATCTAAAGTAAAGAGTTTATCTAGACAATAATCCATATTCTCAGGCCATGAGAAGAGAACACTGACAATCCTATTCTGATTATTATTTCAAAATGTAATATTTAATCAAATCTGTATCAGTGTCATTTCCATACCTTTCCAAGACTATCAATTAACTGCTTTAACTCCTATGTTTAGCATTTTTTTCTGATTGTCCCACTTTGTTTAAACTGATACCCTGATCATTTCACGTATCCAAGATCTATTAGCCAAACATACACCTTTCAGCATTAAGTCTACCACATTTAGCTAGAAACCTTAATAGCAGGCAAATAAAATAGAGAAGATTAGAACTTTAACACTTCTTGTAGTTTTTCTCTATAATATAAGAAGTTACATTTTGGTTTTGTGATTAATAACCACTACTTTAGGGGGGGCCAACAAGTCGTAAGCACATTAACGGCCCAACACCACTTATATTAAGAAACACCTGCAGCGTTTTTAAAAGCGAAAGGTCAAAAACAAATGCAACGACCGAAACACGCTGCAAATGAAATAAATGTTCTGTAAAAAGTCAAAACAACTGCGTTAACTTCAATTGGCTGCAAACATAATAACAAGACAAAGTAAATAAAAAAACAACACATAATCGAAAGAAACTGCAAAACCTTGCACCCGCCCTGATTACCCACACCTGTGTCTCATTATACACTGATTGGCTGTATGTTTAACCCCAGTGTGTCCTCCCTCCTGTTGCCTGTTTGTAGCGTTTCCCTCTTCATAGCAGTTCTATTTCATTGTTCCTGACCGCCAGAGGCAGTTCTTAACAGTGGATTATATCTGTCTTGTGCACGCGCAGGTCGAGTATTTAATATCAACAAAGTCACGTGACCTGGGATGACGCCTGACGTAGCTTAAATAGCCCGCGTCATCACGTGAGACGCCCCTTCTTCTCGCAGGTATCCGCGATGCAGGTTGTTTACAGAAGGAAGCCAAAAAACTTTTTGCTTGGAGCCCTGTAACCACAATTGGAGCTACGGAATTTCGTCCTCCAAGGGCTGCGATTAGTTACAACGGCTACATTGTGTCACCATACCGAGCTGTCTGACCGGTGTTTTCGCTGGGGCTCTCGGCGCTTTACGGACTGGCTAATGATAGCTTGAAGTGGGACCGCTGAGGTAAGTATTATCCCTTCCTTAGCTGTACAGTGATTTCATTTTGAGAAGAGCTCGTTAACTTCAATTGGCTGCAAACATAATAACAAGACAAAGTAAATTAAAAAAAAACCAACAACACATAATCGAAAGCAACTGCAAAAAGTTAAATGATTTAACTCCAGTCTCATACACACCTAGGCCTGTAGGGGTGTTCAATGAAACAGTTTATTATTGAACAGAGACAGTGAGGGAGACAAGGAAGTCAATGTATTGCTCAGATAGACAAGTTGGATAGTTTGAAGACAGACTGCTATGGAAACAAATGACAATAACTAGGGGATTTGAGGGGGTGTTCAGTCCTGGAGTTAAAGCTGGCTAATACCCAGAGGTGGCCACAATGCTATTCCTATCATTTTATTATCCAAGTCATCAAAACTTAATCCTTCAACTGAGACCAATAACATATTTTATAGCCCTGATGGTGAACAAAGACGGACAAGGGTCTGCAGAATGTTACCCAGCTCTTACAGACAAGTGCCAGTCTGTAAAAATACACTCATCCTTAGCATCTCCAATATATCATCCGTGGATAGCGGAATAACTTATAATTTAAAGGTGCTGTTAGAGTGTGATAGAGATCACAGAGGAATAGAGAGTTTGCACAGATTTGAGATTTATGACTCTAACTCTTCCTTCAACAAACTTGAAACAAGAGAAGAGCCCCACTGGGGGAAAAACATCAAAAAATGCCAGTTTCATTCCTCTTGCAACTGCAAGAAACGCTCCAAAAACAGGTTAAAACCTGGAGCCTAGAGTTGCTGGAGGTGATTTGTGGTGATGTCATCAAGCTAAAATAGCTTCTCATTAGCACCTCTGAAGCAGGTCGTATGAATAATTGTCACCAAAGATTTACAATCCAATTAGAGAGTGTCTGGGTGTGGAACAAATTACTCACCTTTGAGGGAAAGACATCAATGGGGAAAAAAACCAAATAGGCTTTTTGGGGAGGAATTTCTGTGCTTTGGGCTTTTTGATGCTGTAGTGGATGTGGTTTGTTTGTTTGTTTGGGATGGGAGATATACAAAGATCCCTCACCATGTTGGGTGCATTGTCAACAAAACATGGCAAGTGAGTAGATCTGCAAGTTTTTCTTGACATCAGACATTTTGTTTAAGTGATTTATATCAGAGACCAGTGCCAAAACAAGGATCCCAGTGTTGACACTTTTGTGAACATGCATACACGCATGCAAAAGCATTTTCAGGGAATGACTAATTCACCAGCAAGCACTTCTCCCCTTTCCAGCTTTGCCTCAAGTTTTAATCTCCGCATTTGCATGACTAAATATAGATCAGCTCTCACACATCCACACTGGAATTCGACTCCAAGAATATAAAGGCGTGTTTCGACTAAATGTTGCTTAAACATGCATGAGCTCACTCCTCCTCTGTCTCAGTGGTCCTCCTCTAACACACTACCTGCATATGATACATTGAGACACTATACGCACAACTACTTCAGTTTTTATATGCTTGTTAGAGCCAAGCCACTATGTTTTCCAAAGAGTGATCCAATTGCCTGCAAATGGGCTGCTCCAAGAGTTCCGTTGCTAGGTTTAAGGAGAGAGCTCACAGATGCGGAACGGATGCAATAACGGGAGAGTTTCTGGCTGATAGAATAGCTTTATCACACACTACGCCCTGTTGAGCTGTGCACTTCTATTTTGCTGGTATTTTCACACAAACAAACCCCTACATCAGACAAAAGCACCCTTTAGGGATATCAGTTTATTTAGGGAAAGTTTTGTTATACTACGCAAACTGCTTTAACCTCATGTCCACTCATATTAGATGCAGCATTAGAGGATCTCTTGGTAATATCAATTACCAATAATTATCTTCAGAAACAAGAGTTTTGCATGTTGGCCTCATGCAAAATGTTGCTTGAGGGTTCCTGCTTTGTGTCACCATAGTAGAGGATTCTTCCATCTTTGTTGATATGGTAGCATGTGTTTACATTTTGAATTTATGTCTTGTGTTTTTATGGTTGACACAGTCTGCTCTGCCAAATAGGTCATGTTATCAACATGTTATGTTTTTTTTTTTTTAGTAAATTGTCTTCTGTTCCTGTTTGTTTTGATGGTTTTTCACTCTCCCTTGTCTCTGTCATTTCAGATCCTGCTCCTCATGTTCTCCTTGTGTCAGCCCCACCCCGATTACCCACACCTGTGTCTCATTATACACTGATTGGCTGTATGTTTAACCCCAGTGTGTGCTCCCTCGTGTTGCCTGTTGGTAGTGTTTCCCTCTTCATAGGAGTTTTTTCTTATAGCCTTAGGCCTAGTCCGCATGTAGGCCCACACACACTTAGTTCTCACAAACATCTTGGTCCACATGCAAACCCAAAACACACTGTTTGGGCTGTCATGAGCACACCAAGTCAAAAACAATATCCTTGACACGCTAAAATGGTCTTACCATTCCTCTGCAATGACCACTTAAAGTTCTCCATTCAAGAGAGTAACTGTATGTGTATTGTGTTAGCATGTTAAAAGTCCAGTTAGCAATGTTACCACCAGCACTGTTTGGTTATGTCTGCCATTGCACTAAACTCATGTAAACAAAAGTGACAGCCTCGCACTATCATGACAAACAGGGGAGAAAATTGGTGATATTTCCCCGTCTACACATAAACCTTAAACAGAGTTTCTAAAAATCATCTCCCTGGAAGGAGTTTTCCAAAAGGTACGTTTTCAGTTACCTAAAACATGTTTGTATGTGTACGAAAGGTCAAAACACACAGAAAAACCTCTGTTTTCAGAGGCTTTAGTGTGTATGATATCTACTGTTTTTTTTTTTTTCACCCAGCCTTTAGCCGACTCCTCTGGATTTGTTTGCCGACTCCTTTTTCCCTTGCTGTGTACCAAACATTGGACTTCATTAAATATTTAACCATTTTGAATGCTCCCTCTGAGTCTGGGTGTGAATCAATAGTGTGCTTATCTTTGTATTAATGGTTAGGATGAGAATACAGAAAAACTGTTCATTTTGTTCATCTTTGTAAAGATGTTCATCTTTGTAAACTACTTTCACTCTAAAATATTGTAACAAATGTATATCTCAAAATTGTGTGGCAGAAAAGTAGTGGCAATAGTTTAGAATGATCAAATAACTACAACTTGCTAATATAGATAGACTTTTTAAAAGGGCAGTGACTTCTCAGCTTTTTTTTTTTTTTTTTTTTTTTTAAAAGGTGCAGGTTGACAACTAAAAATACATTAAACCCATCTCAATATGGAACCAAAAAACCCCCACTACACTGCCCTCGTTTTGAACACAGTTAACACATGGACAGGTGCCTAGTTTAAGTCACAGTATAGTAGAAAAGACTAGGGCTGTCAAAAGACTACCTTTTTTTTTTTTTTAAATCATAATTAATCACTAAATCTCAATAGTCAATTGGGATGAATCACATTTTTGATTGCATGTTTAAAATTCCATTATTTCGTATTGAAAAATATAAACAATTAGGCTTTTATTTTGAATTATGTTGACTGTCAAACTTGGAACACTTCACTTGCTGTTTGAATTCTACCCAGCTTTTATTTTGAATTAAAGTGAGGACCTTCTGGTTGATCGAAGGTCACAACATTAACATTAATTTAACCTCGGAAAATTAACTTGTCATGACTCAAAAACTAAAAGAAACAGCAAAAAAGGAATAATAGAAAAAGTGAAATGTTAGGATGAGGTGGTAATTACTTTTGACACGTCAGCTGAGCTGTCTATTTTAAAGTTCAAAGACACAGCAGTGTTGTTCCTTTCCATCACTGTGACTACAGGGGGACAATGCAGAGGCTTATCCACACTTATTAGAAAAAACGAATGCTTTAATTTCAGACCTTAATTAATCACGAGTAACTAGTTAATGCAGACAGACAGAAAAACGTATGGTTATACCTGTTGTTTCCACATATCATACACCACTCTGTTTCTTTTTTCATAGTAAGCGCAACAGCCTGAACCAAAACTGCACTGACTGCTTAGTTGTCCCTGACACACACCCAACTGCGCCTGTTGTCCCACCACAGTCAGGTTCACTTATTATCACGTTGAGTCACCAAAATACCAAAAGAGCACAGGCATGGACAAAAATGGAACAGTTTATCTGACAAGAATGGCACATATTTCTGAATTTGCAGTAGCATCATACTACAGAAGCAAACCCTTTAGGTCTACATGTGCACACAATGTAGTTTTAATACACTATTTAGTCAGTTGGGCCTGAATGGTTGAAATGCATGTGTGTGGCCCTAAAGCCTGCCAGGTAGATGTCCAAGAATGAAATAAAATGTATACGGGGTGAAGCTACAGGAGATTCATGTGTTCCACTGTAACTTCAGGCAGGAGGTGTAACAGTGTTATGAGACCAGATTTTACACTCTGAAGCTGAAACTAGTTTTCTTTAATTTCACACCACATTTTTGTTACACTCCAACAACAGCAGATTTTGAATTTGCTGCAGTTCCAATAAATGTCTCTGACTGGCTTATGTCCAAAGCAATGGATCCAAGGCTCATTGGCCTTAAGTAGTTTTAGAGCTTGCCACAGTAACATTACATTAGCAAAATATTAGTTCTTGGAAACAGGGAAGAAGTAAGCAGACATTCACAGCATAAACGTATTCAATCCTTACATTGTAAAGGATGCTGTGTTTTTAATGGTAGTTAAAATTGAGGATATCGTTGAGGGAAACGTTTATAAAGATGCCAAATAACAAGGAAAGGCACTTCTGGAGCTGGTCGCTCTGCAAAATGTGAGACATTATCCAACAGCCAAGTCATCAGTGGAACTACTAGAAAGGGTGCTGTTTTCAAGATGATCACAGTGCAAGGATGTTTGTCATTAGTCAATAAGCAATAAGCCTTGTCTCCAAAGTCAATGGTGGGCCAATATGGTGGGCAGAGGGCGATCCATGACACCTGCTTGAACAGATTCTGCTATGGTGCATATTAATGTGACAATACAGCACATCTTATTTTTTTAAAATGTCTTTTACACAAAGAAGGTAACCATTTTGATCTTGCAGTAATATACATCTTTACTGTGTGTAACCTTTGACAATTCCGTTGTCAATCTAACATTTCCATAAACGAGCAACATAGTTTAGCTAGTTGAGCAGTAGTGACATGGGGAAGTAACCACCTCCTGAGGTATTGATTTTTCTCCCTGGAAATGTTAAATGTATTAGAAAAGGTTCAGGAGTGGCAGCAGAGGCAGTTGGTCCTGAGGCAATATTGTTTTCTCTCTCTCTCCCTCTCTCTCTGAGCATGCTCCCTCACCCTCTCACCCACACACTTTATTCTCTCCCTTAAAGTGAACACAGATTGGCTTAAGAATAGCCCAGATCTGCCTCTCTTCTCATCCATCTCTGTTGCTGATGTCCCACTTCTCAGCTAACTTTGATTAAGTCCTCTCAGCCCAATAGTTCTTAATGGCCACACTGCTAGGTAAAGGGGGAATTTGGGGGGGAGGGGGGGGGTCTGACTGAGAGAGCTCCTGCTAGGCTTCCTGTCTACCATCTGGGACTTGTTTTCTTTCAGCTGATGGAAGATGACTTTTCTCTCTTTGGCTGAGTTCTCTTTCAACTAGGCAGATGAAGATCAGAGAGGCAGAAGTGACAGAGGGAGTGAAAATCATTTTTTGGATTTTTTACTTAGAAGCCTTTATACAGTCCTGTGCTTACTTTATACACACTTCTTTCATATTCTCTCTCATTATTTAAACAGACAGGTGGGGTTAACTGATTTGCCATCAATATGATTATTTTACCATTTTTATTCATGTAGATCCACAAATAAAAATTGGAGTTTTGAACATATATGAAAGCAGATACACAGGCGAAAACTGTAAAAGATGCTTGAACATGATAGATTTTCAAAACAAAATAAAAATACCCTTGACAATATAACTCTACTAGACATTTATTTCATTTAACATTTTAAAGATATGGGGGGGGGGGAATGATGGGGGACAGGAGAACCGAACAGAGTTGAACGGGATCTTACGAAGGAGCCTCTTTACATGGGTCACACAACATATTAACTGCTAGCCTACCCGTCAACACTTTTATTTTCCAAAAAAAAACACAGTTCCCCCCTTTTCACATCACAGGGTTCCAACAGATCAAAACTTTGATGTTAGTTTTAAAGCAACTCTACGGAACTTTCATTTTGTGTTGATTTGGCGACCTCTGTGGTCAAAGCAGTACGCCGTATCTCTTTGTTGTTCTTGTCCTATAAATGTATAAGTAGCATTCTGTAAAAAAAAAGACTCCCATTGTATTACCCACCAAATCTTTTTACTGGAAAATGTTAACAAACAAACCTCCAGTCTGTATGCTGGGAATAACTTTCCACGTGGTATATGCTCAAAAACATCAGAATAGAAAAAGTCACTCCTTTAGTCGATGGTCTCATATGCTGTTGGAGGTCATATAATGGTATCAGGATTCATTCAAACATACCCAAACTCATTCACCCTAATTTGATTATGTATTATGCTTTTGGACTGGTGATGTGTTTGATCGCCTTCACATGAGAATTAAATTAATTTGATACAGCATAATAAATCATTTCTCTGTTGGTCTACTGCATGTATTGGATTGGAACTATTTCACATCAAGATCCATAAGGATATTAATTAGATCCATCTAACTTATTTCCATCGACATGCTAATTGCCTGTAGGAACCAGATGAGATGGCACGCTTTGATTATAATCACAGATAAGTAGGAGATTTTCATATTTTGCAGACAGCATCCCGCCAGCTTGACATTTCAGCTGTTTTCAAGGGACTGCCCTGTTTATGATCAATACAGAGGCAACCCTGCTGAGACCCATGTGCTCAGAAATCATTTTTCTGTAAGTCTTGAGCACTGTCCTCTTTTTAGGATCCCAGTTACCTGAGGGTAAGCGCTTTTCCTGTTGTTGGGGTAGAAATTCCTCAGTATTCAAGGGGACAACCAAAGATTCCTCAAGCATCTGTGGTGAAAAAGTCTCCTCCTTCATATTCTCACCACAGAGTCAGTATGCAATGCCAGGGTCTTTGATGGCTCTGTGTGATGTGGTATATATGCCCTTTACCTATCTGACACTGCCATCAGAGATTCAGTGAATGAATTAATCATCAATCAACTCTATTTGTATAGCACCAATGCATAACAAATGTTATCTTAACACAGTTTGGAAAGGACCAGGGAACATATCTTACTCTTTGTTTTATCATTTACAAAGACACACCATAGATCCATCTTGAGCACAGCACTAAGCAACATTCAGCAAATGAAAAACTGCCTTTAAACAGGCAGAAATCTTGAACAGAACCAGACTAGTGTTGGACAGCCACCTGTCGAAACTGTGTTGGGGTTGACAAGTGGGAAAGAGGAGGATGCAGAAAGAAAGAGACAGATAGAGCCAACCATTGTGACAATATCCCTGTTAGTGTGATAGATTTATCTAGCTACAATGTCAGTTACAATGGTAAAGGTACTGTATGTGTAGTATTAGCAGTAACAGTCCAGCTCAAACAACACACCATCACTGGCCTTGTGGATCAGTTTGTTGAGTCTTCAAGGTGTCCACCACCCTCGGTCTGCTGCTCCAGCATACAACAGCAAAAAGGATAGCACTGGACACCGAAGACTCATAATACATCTTCAGCATCGTCCTACTGATGTTTAAAGACCTCAGCTTTTCAGGAAGTAGAGGTGGCACAGGCCTTTTGATCTTTTGATGAAATCAGTGTTCTTGGCCTATTCCAGTTTATTAATTAAATACACTCCCAACTACCTATAAGCAATATAATCCACCCTGAACTCAGCCTCCTCACCTTATAACAATCGTCTTAATTTTAAAGCAAAAGTTATAATATTTAATTCGAATCTACTGCAATAATGCTACAACCTG